TTGACTATATCCTTGAACCACCAATCTTGCCTTGTTCCTTGCAACTATTCCATCTTCATCAAGTTTGTTTTTGGAGATCCATTTTGTGCCAATTACTGATTTGTCTTTGTGTCTTGGTACCAAATGCCAAACTTGACTTCTCTCTAATTGGTTGAGTTAATCTTGCATTGCATTTACCCAGTCTGTATCCTACAAAGCCTCAACAATATTTTTAGGTTCAATAAGAGATAAAAAAGTATCAAAAGCATAAATATTCTTCAAAGAAGATCTGGTTTACATTCCAGAGGTTGGATCAGTGATTATATTCTTAATGGGATGAATCTTTGATACTTGTAAGGTTTCACAACCAACTAGTTTCCCCTAGATGTTCCTTCAATGTTTTGTTGTTGATGAACAGGTTCATGGATAGGTTCCCTTGAGGTTTGAGGATCAGTTCCTCTTTGTTCAATTCCCCATGTCAGGTTGTCATGGGTGGAAGAACCTGTTCCATCACCTATTACTTCCTCCGGTGAAGCTTCAGTCTGGGCTGTGGTTTTATTTGAGTTTCTTACTAGCCCAATTGCTTCATCATCCTGTTCCTGCCTCTCATAAAGAATGTTAGTTTTATCAAAAACCACATGTACACTTTCTTCTATACACATAGTTCTTTGGTTATAAATCTTATAAGTTTTACTATGCGAAAAATATCCCAAGAATACTCCCTCATCACTTTTGGGATCAAACTTACCTAGGGAGTCTTTACCATTATTGTGCACAAAGCACTTGCATCCAAATGCCCTAAGATGAGATATATTTGTCTTTCTCCCTTTAAGTAACTCATAAGGAGTCTTCTCGACTAGAGATCTGTTCATGCACCTATTTATTATGTAGCAAGCAGTGTTCACAACTTCTGCTTAGAAACTATGGGGCAGTTTACTAGAAAGAAGCATAGTCCTAGCCATTTCTTCAAATGTCCTATTCTTTCTTTCAACTACTCCATTTTGTTGTGGAGTCCTATGAGCACCAAAGTTATGATTTATGCTATACTCATTACAAAATTCAGCAAATTTAGCGTTTTCAAATTCAGTACCATGATCAGACCTAATTGATGCATATTGATTACCTAGTTGTTTCTGAGTTTTTCTAACAAAAGATGTGAACATGTCAAATGCTTCATCTTTAGATGTTAAAAATAATGTCCAAATAAACCTACAGTAATCATCAACAAGCACCATAACATATCTCTTACCACCTCTACTCAACGTTCTCATTGGTCCACAAATATCCATATGGACAAGTTCTATCGTCCTAGTAGTGCTTACCATTTTTTTGCTTTTGAAAGAGGATCTTTCCTGCTTCCCCCTTGCACAAGCCTCACAAACTTCATCTTCCTTGAACTTAATGTTAGTCAGCCTTATCACCAAGTCCTTGAAGACTAATTTGTTGAGTTGGCTTAGACTGGCAGGTCTAAGTCTCTTATGCCAAAGGAGGGGATCATTATCCAACACACTTAAGCAAGTGAATTCAATATCTGAAAGTGTGGACAGATCCACAACATATATGTTGTTTACTCTTTTTCCCTGCAAAACTATTTTATTAGTGGTAAGATTAATCACAAAGTATTTTGTAGAGGTGAAGGCTACCATGTTATCTCTATCACGCAATTGTGATACACTCATTAGACTGTACTTCAGTCCATCTATCAAGTAGACATTTTCAATAGAGTGAGAATCAATCTTACCTACCTTTCCAACCCAATGGATCTCACCTTTATTTCCGTTTCCAAAGGAGACATTACCTCATTTATGGTCCTCAAGTGAGAGGAACCGGTTCTTTCTTTCTATCATATGCTTAGAACAATAACTATCCATGTACCATATTTGACTGTTTCCCTTCACTTGGACCTGCAAAAAGAAATCAGGGGTTAGTCTTAGGAACCCAAACTAGTTTGGGTCCCTTTCTATAGGCAAAATGATAGATCAAATTCTTTTTAGCCCAACTTGGCAGCCTATTTTTCCATAGAACAAATTTTTTGTTCTTTTGACTTGCCGTCTCTTTTGCAATACATTCACTCTTATAGTGACCGGTGTTACCATAGTGTGTGCAAATCTTGTTCTCAGGGAGTGTGAGGTACTTTCTTTTGGGATCCCACTTAGGTGCAGAGTTCCCAAAGCCAAGTCCCCTTTTGTTGCTACTATGATGTTCTTGTTGTGATGATAGTGCATCAGAGGACTGATTCCATTTACAAGTTTTATCTAGCTCATGCTTGACCTTTTTCAGATCCTTCTTTAGGACTCCTGCCTGTTCATCCCTCTTATACAACTCATCTTTTATTTTTCCTACATTTACTTCTAAAGTTAGTTGTGTATGATTAGTTGTCTTTTTGTATGTTCCTAATTTCAATTTTATATTTTCAGATCTAAGTTCTAGGATAGTTGTGTCAAGTGCATGAACCTGGTTCTTCAACAGAGTATTTTCACTTTCCGTTTCACACGCCCTAAGTTCTAGGTTTTTACACTTAGCTTTCAAAATCACACATTCTTTTGACAGATGTTCTTTTTCATTATTCACATCCTCATATTCATCAATTAGCTCTAGTAGTAACTCAGATAACCTTTCTTTAGACAAAAATTTAATCTTGTCTTTGAGATGAAAAACGCTTACCTCAGTTTCTTCATCAGATTTTCCAATGGTCATAAGTGCCCGTTCATCATCATCATCATCTGAGCTTTCTCCCCAAGTAGTGACCACAGCTTTGGTTGATCCTTTGTTGTTGCTTTTCTTGGGTTAAACATGTTCCTTTTTCTTGTTCATTCGTTTAACTCTTTCCTTCTTCCATTCAATTTTCCACAAAAGACAGCTTTTAATCATGTGATCAGTCTTACCACACTTGTACCAACCATCATTGGTTGTCTTCTCAGGAGCTTTTGCCTTGTTGTAGCTTTCACTTCTTGAAGAACCTTTTCCTCTCCTTGGGTACTTCTTAAAGTCTTTGGTTATCATAGTCATTTCATTATCTTCCATATCAGAACCATCAATGATTCTGAGTGCCAAGCTCCTTTCCTTCTTAGGTACATCCATTTTCATGGTTTGTCTCCTAAGTTCATAGGCAGTGAGATTCCCAATCAATTCATCTAGTGGGAGAGTGGCAATATTCTTTGATTCTTGGATGGCAGTGATCTTGCTCTCCCAAGTGATTGGCAAGACCCTAGTGAGTATCTTCTCGACTCTTTCTTCTTCAGAGATAATCCTTCCAATAGATTTTAGTTCATTTGTCGATATAGTGAACCTTGTGTACATCTCCTAAATGGTTTCTCCATCTTTCATAACAAAGTTCTCATACTGAGAATATAGTAGAGTTCCTCCAGATCTTTTTACCTGAGTTGTTCCTTCATGGTCCACTTGCAGTGTGTCCCAAATTTGCTTAGTAGTGGAACAACCTTGGATTCTGCTGTACTCATTCATATCAAGTCCACAAACAAGCCATTTTTTGGCTTTGGCATTCTTTTCCCATTTCTTCATATCCTCAGCATTGCAATCAACTCTTGTATTTGGTGCATCTACTCCTTCAGCATTTTTCTTCAAAGTAGCTAGTGGACCATCAATGACAATATCCCATAGTCCATAGTCCTCTCCCTATATGTGATCTCTCATCTTGTTATTCCACCAAGAGTAGTATTGTCCATTAAAGAGTGGTGGCCTAGTAGTGGATTGCCCTTCCCAATTCCAGGTGGTGCACCCATCTTAATCTTCTCCTAAGGTGTTAGCCTCTTCAAGGATAACCACCTCTGATACCAATTGATGTTTTATACTCCAGTACCACACAAGAGGGGGGGAGTGATTTGTGTGGTGTTCAATTTTTTGCGTGCACGGATTATAGAAGGACCTGGTTCTTCTATGTGTTCCTTATACTACTGTTGCAGAATAATAAATGCAGAAAGTAAAGAACACAAGTATTGTTATGTGGAAAACACCTGGCTCAAAAGGTGAAAAAATCACGATCTACTACCTAGCAAGATTTTTTCCAACACTTCACTAAATCACTTGGTCAAAAACAACGTTTATAAAACTCTTATAAACCTAACGATTACCTCTAACCCTTTGTGGCAATCAGTCTCAGATGTTGCGATAATTTCAAGTTAACTCTAACTTGAACACTACACTCAGAGTACCTAGTACAAATGCTTCTAAAGAAAGCTGAAAGGTACAACTCAAAAACCCATATTACAATTTAACTAGAATAAAAGATAGATACTTGGAACTGGTTCTTCTAGATGGTTCATGTAGCTTCAGGTTCACACACTTCAATCACACATGAATTGCTTGCAAAATGCCTTGCTATTTTGCTCTCAACTCTTGTTTAACTTCAACATTTGTGTGTATCTGTAAAAGGAGAACATCCTGAAATATATAGAGTTAGTAGAATAGGATTAATTAGAGTTCTAATGCTATACTCTTCCTTGGTGGAAGAGTTCTAATTATCTTCAACTTCTAACTCCTCCCTTATTTAGGATAGAGTTCTCTTCAATTGAGGAGGTCTTTCTCCTTAGCAATTATGCAATCTTTTCGTTCAGGAGATATCATATATAAGCAGTTAAGCTTATCTCCTTCACGTGCATGTCTTGTGCTCAAATTTGCCTGTGTTTGTGTACACTGTATATGGACCTCGTTCATGCTTGAGTTCCTTTGTCAAACATTAAAACAAACTTACTCAGGCAAACAATATGGATGCACATTATTCCTCACTTTATTTTAGTAGATTTGTATATTTCAAATTTATTATCCTAATTCTTGGTTTCAGATTCAATTTCTCTAATTGGTCCCTTAAATAGCTCAATTCTGAATGTGTTATTCCCGTTAATGGTCATTAATTATGGACGGCTGTCTCTCTCTAGACCCTTTTAGAATTTCTTCCACAAAAAAGCCCACCTCCTAAGGCTAAGGGTGATCATACATTAGTTGTGGTATACCTTTTTTAACCCCAAAAATAAGTCATTTCTTGAATCTAAGTGACTGAAAATTAGATTAATCACAAAGAAGAACAAACTTTGTCACATTATTTCCATCAGAAAAAATATAATAACAAATAAAAAATATTTAAAGAATGGCTGAGGCTGACGATCCACAAGATATAGCTGATCGAGAACGAATCTTCAAGCGATTTGATGCAAATGGTGATGGGCAAATATCTGCTACAGAACTTGGGGAGACGTTGCAGACCCTGGGCTCTGTTACTCCTGAAGAAGTTAAGTATATGATGGATGAAATTGACACTAATAAAGATGGTTTCATTTCCTTTCAAGAGTTCATAGAATTTGCCCGAGCCAACAGAGGCTTGATTAGGGATGTTGCTAAAATTTTCTAGCTTCCTCTTTCACCATTTTGATATGGATTTAATTTTAATATATACGAGGGTAGTGTAAAGAACTTTTACACGATTATGTATTCAACATGTCGTAGCACGTAACTTGCCTTATCTTCCTTATTATTAATCTCACTTAACGGGCGATTATTTGTAGTTATCGTATAGATCCTGATAGTGTTAACCTCGATATCTGTCCATCTCAAATTTTCTTTTTCTTTTCTTGTTGAAGAAACCGTTTAAGTTAGTTAAACTGTAACATCCATTTTGCTTACATCATATTGAGGTTGATTGTATGTATTTTTTTCATTTAAATTTGTGGGGTTTACAACAAAATTTGCTGTTGTTGTTCATCTTCTTTCCCTCCTAATGTGACAACGTGGGTCAACAAGATACAGCAACAAGTTTGTTAACCTTGTATTTGAATTGTTTTTGTTTTTTGGTTGTCGCATGTGAGAGTTGAGCTGTCTTGGTTTCCCCATGCCAAATTATCGCAAGTTGACCTTGATTTTGATCGTTGTGCATGGCATAGCGTTTGTACTTTCTGAACCATCTCTTTCTTAATTACCTAACCTGAATTGGATCGATCAACTTCTGTCCTTGTATTAATAAAGAAATAGTATGTAATCGTGCACGATAGATANACCCAAAGCCCCAACCAAATACAAATATAAAATTTAGACGTGACTTCCGATTTGAAAAAGTGTGTTCTAAAATGTATGTCTAACTCTAAAATTCAAGAGACTGTGGGATGCTACTCATATATATATATACACATACGAACCCAATATTTAAGACGAGTTATAGGATCTATAGCAAATTCAGAACCCATAAATTTTAAATTCTGGCTTCGTCTCTGCCTATATGTTTAGGATGAACGGTTTTCTTGAAGATGAGAAAAGGAGCTTGTTTAAATGGAATAATGGATTTATAATTGGAAGCAGATACAACAACAACAACAACAACAACAACAAACCCAGTGTAATCCCATGAATGGGGCTTGGGGAGGACAGTGTGTATGCAAATCTTAGCTCTACTTTATAGAGATAGAGAAGGTGTTTCCAAGATAAGGTAACAAATAGTGGAAGCCGATAAAAAAAGAAGAAAGAATCTGAAAGGAAATGGTAAAAAGTGCCCACCTATGTACTCTTCTATTCACCAAGTAGTAAAATACATAATTACATATATAAAGTTGGCTGTTATAGCTAAAATACATGGCACTTAGAATGTCCAAGGAAAGACTAACTTGCAATGAAGAAAACAATGTTGCAACTTTCTTATCTAACCTTGAAAAACAGATACTGCCTTAGTTTTTCCTTAGAGTTGGGGACAAGAAACCAGTATGTACAAACACAGAATTCGTCGATCAGGCTATCACTTTTATCTACAAGTTAAAGAGTTTTTCAGTTGTCACACTATAATTCTCCTCCCTTTCAAGTTGAATGGGGCAATGGCAAACAAGGATAAAAACTTCACATTCAACTTTTTGTTTCAACGAAAATAAAGGTCATCATCCTCAAAATCTGCAACTCCTAGCATCGCCAAGGCTAAATGACTCTTCATTTCGTTTCTAGTCTGCTGCAATTGGGGGTCAATCACATAGCTGTTACTTGGTAAAATGGTCTTCTTCTTAGTGAAGGAATCAGGCTCTCTGCCTCTTAATATGTCGATGATCTCATCAATATCAGGCCTTCGAGATTCTTCACTGTGTATACATGCAGTTGCTGCTTGAACCATCCGAGATATTTGGTGCACATTCTTTCGAGGAACTTTAAGTCTTGGATCAAGAAACTTTTCAAGAACATCTTGCTGCAGTAGTGGCTTTGCCTGTGTAAGGAGAAACATCAAATTTTAAAAATCAGCATAGAAAGCTGGTAATGACCAATTGAACATCTTCTAAATTTTGAAGGGAAGTCCAAATGAAGGATAGCGAAGTGCCAACATTTTTCAAGTTTTGGTACAAAACTTTACTCCAATGAGTTTGAGTACAACTACTTCAGATGCAGACTCACTTGTGCAACAACAGCTAAATGAAAGTATTTTATCATCTCAAGATCACATGCAATTCCAAAACGTTTCCCACCACTGAAATTTAGGATCAGAAACTTTGGGAGAAACAGAGTTTGGACAAATTTAATGGCATTTATAGTTAGCAATGACAGTAGTGTATAACTTTAGAGGGTGACAGACAAATATCAAAATAAGGCTATACAGAAGGCAGATTAGGAATAGATTTAAGCAATCACCTACCCATGAAACCAAGTTTTCTTCTCCTGGTCCTCTTTTCGCTTCAATTGGCTTCCGTCCAGTTAATAGCTCCAACAGGACAACTCCAAAAGCATAAACATCAGTTTTATCAGACACTTTACCATGCTGAAAATATTCTGGGGCTAAGTACCTGCAAATGCAGTTTTAAAACCTGATAAAATGTAGGAAATACTGTTGTTGTTAAGCTACATTAGGATCGTAGTCATTGTTATGCTAAAGAGTTTTCCTGGTGGAAATCTTACCCAAATGTTCCTTTCACAGTTTTACAAAGGAAATGTACTGAAGGTGCAGGAGTCCATGTAGCTAAGCCAAAGTCACACAACTGCATAGACCAAGTAACAATTAAATTAGAGCACAATCCACCAGAAAAAGCTACTGTTGGCTAGCACGCAAAAGTGTGGCCAAATGTTCAATGAAGTGGAGGAGAACTATAGGGTACCGGACTTCGAAGTCCAATAGAGCCTAAACAACAATAAGTAATTTCTTCCCATCTGTCTAAGCCTTGGTAGACAGAGTCACGCAGTAATGTGCCGAGGGAATTAGCAGGTATCCGATGGAATAGTCGAGGAAACAAAAGCTTGCCCCGACACCACCCTTATGAACAAAAGAATAACTATTGCCTAGTATATCCATCAAAGTATTGACAATTACCTAAATGAGATTTCTAAATGAAATGATATCCTTTTCATTACCTTGGGAGTTTTCTTTGATGAAAGAAGAATGTTTGAGGGTTTGATGTCTCTGTGAACAACACATCTCTCAGTCCCATTATGCAAATACCCAATTGACTCTGCAATACCAACAGCCACCTTATACCTAGCAGACCATGTAAGTGCTGGACCACCTTTAACTCCCCTCTTCTTCCCTATAAATGAATAAATTTAAGTCTCACTGAAATACTGTAAAGTCAAACTAAAAATCATTCCACTAAAGAAAAAAAGGAAAGCAAAGAACTATTTACCATGCAAATACCGCTCTAAACTTCCACCAGATACATACTTGTACACCAAAAATAAACCCTCCTCTGGATCAATGCAAAAACCCACAAGAGGAACAATGTATTGGTTATGAAGAGAACTAGCAATCATCAATTCCCTACAAAATGCCTTTGGAGATTCCTTATCCTCCATATCTAACCTCTTAATTGCGACTGTTGTCCTCAAAAATCCCACTCTTCCTCTGAATACATAGCTCAATGCTCCTCTTCCCAAAACTCTTCCTACCCAATTCAAGAAATATAAATCAAGACATATCAAAGAAAATAAAAGCCTAGAAATTGAAACCTATTTCAAGATACATAAACTGAAATACATGAAAAGAGAAAGGCCAAGAAGATAGCAAAAAAACACTAGGTTACAGAGTTGCCGATTAGTTGTGCCGGTGAGAGGTAGTAGGTATTAAGCAAAATAGTAGAGGTACATGCAAGCTGCCACCACCGAGATAAAAAAAAGGAAAAAAAAAAAGAGAAGGGGCAAGAAATTGAACATACCTTTAGAAAAATTTCTAGTAGCAGAAACAATCTCATTAAAGCTGAACCTAATCAAGGAATGAACCACAGGAGAAATATTCCTCTCTAAAGACTCAACTTTTCTAAATTTCAGCTCTTGATCAGACTTATTAAGATCAGTAAACCCATTATCCAAATTCACCATTAACACAGTAGTAGTAGCAGAAGAAGAAGAACAGCTATTTTCCAACTTCATTGACTCATCAAGCTCAACTTGAGTACATAAATTGAACCTAAAAGAAGAGTGAACCGAATGTGGGTCCGCATTAATCAACTCTGGACCACCACACCCTCCAGCCTCTGCAAGTAACCAAGCTTTGTTATGCTCCAAATTCTTGCCATTTTCATTATCTTTATTTTTGCACTGATTCTTGATTACAGAATTTCGACGTCTACGAGGTGGGATAATACAGGCTAATCCCAAATCCCAAATCATTTTGTAGATTAAAGATTTAATCTTTAGCTCGTAGTGATTAGTTTTAACGGCTAAATTTTGAGTCTTTGAGGAGTGTGAGTTGTGAAAACGCTCCTCCAAAGAGTCAGTACAACTACTTGGGGAATACCCCATTTTTGGTGAAGTGGAAGTGGATCTCTAAAAGCTACACGGAAACCCAGAAACCAACAGAAAGAAAGAATAAAGAAAAGGTGTAGAGAGAGAGAGGGAACAACTTTGCTTGAAGGGGAGGAGAGAATTAATCCCTGGATAGAGAAAGACAGAAGAGAGTCTTGTCTTGGACAATGAGAGGGAATTTATAATTAAAATGATTCAAATATTTAATTTAGTTTGTTATACTTAAGTTGTTTGTCTTAATTTTTAGGCGACTACTTGAGCTTATTTAAAAAGTAGTCCACCTATCGATTTTTTTCTAAAATAATATACTAAAAGTTATTTAAAATATCTTTTCATGTGACTGTATAAAATAAAATTACACTAAAAGTATAGAACTCTAAAAGGATTTTGGAAAAAAATAGTGTATGCAGTAAAATTGGTTAATCAGTTGGACGAGTGAGGAGGTGACATGTGGAGCTAAAGACAGGTAAGATGTGAGTCAGCAAATAGTTGATACCGGTTGCAAGCATATGATCGGTGCTAGGTGAATTCCGAAGACAGGGTAACCGATAACAAAGATTTGAAGAATTTATAGCATTCAATGAGCAGCTGTTATAGAGAATATCTGCATTTATAGCCAACCGTTCCGGCCATCAATGACAGTTTTATTCTCATTCAAGGGGAGCTTAATTTGGGGATCGTGTCTCCCTAAATATAGCTATAAATAGGAGAATTAGTATCCATTGTAGGACACGAAATATTCTGTACACAGAAGTTTGACTCAACTCTCATTTTATAACATCATTCTTTTACCTTGTTCTTACTTCTGTTATCGGAGAGGCTAAGTTCATATTTAGGCTTGTATTTCCTTTAAAGTTTATTCTATAATTTTATTTTTGTTCCTGTTTATTTCATATTTTTGGATCAAATTAATTCATGTGTCTATAAATCACGTTACAAATTAAATTATA